TGACCTCATGGCCTTCCTCTTGACCAATGCCCTGTCTCTCCTCTGCCTTCTTTAGGCCCTTGCCTAACTCTGGCCCTCTGACCTTTTGCCCTTGTGACCCTTGACTTCTGGACTTGCATTCTCTTTCCCTTGACCTCCTCCCCTATGCTCAAGCTTTGCTTTCCCTCAGTTGTCTGCCCGTTTTCTCCCTTGCTGATCTTCCTCCCGATCCTGTTCGCCCTCCTGCTCTGTGCTCTCTTGCCTGGGTTCCAGTGGCCTTTGCCTGCCTCTCCCCGGGGCTCCTCTTAACTCATAGAATGTCTAAGCTGGAAGAGCCCCCAAAACTTATCTGGTCTTATACCCTCATTTCACAGAGGAGGAAACTGAGGCCCAGAAAGGGGAAGTGACTTATGCAGGCCCAAATGAGGTAGTGGCAGACCAGGACTAGAACACAGGCCTCCTGACTCTCTTCCCAGAACTCTCCTGCCTCTTTCTCCCCTGGGCCCTGCCCCTCCTGTGCCCAGTGCCCAGATAAGTCTTTTCCCCAGCTCCCTCTCACCCACACTCACCCCCCCGGCTCCCGCTGCTTCCCTTTTCCTGCCTGCCCTTGCCCTCCATGCCAGGCCAGTGGCCAGGCCCTGACTGACCCCTGCTGTGTCTTCCAACAGTGCCTGAGGCTCCCGTCATTGACACCCAGCGTACCTTTGCCTACGATCAGATCTTCCTGTGCTGGCGGCTGCCCCCCCACTCACCACCTGCCTGGCACTATACCGTTGAGTTTCGGCGCACGGATGTGCCTGCCCAGCCAGGTCCTACTCGCTGGCAGCGGCGGGAGGAGGTGAGGGGCACCAGTGCCCTGCTGGAGAACCCCGACACAGGCTCCGTGTACGTGCTGCGTGTCCGTGGCTGCAACAAGGCCGGCTACGGCGAGTACAGCGAGGATGTGCACCTGCACACGCCTCCCGCCCCCGGTGAGTAAGCAGGCAGGGGGCATGGTGTGGCAGGCACAGGTGGTCGTGCAAAGGGCGAGGGGTATGTTCGAGCCCAGGCACTGCCAGCTGGTTCCCGTGTGGGCGCTGGAGAAGCCGTTTAACATAGTGGGTCACCTGCACTATGTCTGGAGCTAGACTGCTCATTCAAATCCCAGCTCTGCCTCCTGCCAACTGTGTGGATGGCTTTGGGCAAGTTTTTCTCCCTCTCTGAACTTCAGAGTCCTCTTCTGTAGGGATAATATTACTTACTTCATAGGGTTGTTGTGAAAATTAAACTGTTGTGAGATGACACGTGTAAAGTCTTAGCACAGTTTCTGGCTCATAGTTAGGGCTCAATAAATATTAGTAAAGTGACTCTTTAGAAAATAGTTTGGTCACTGGGGTGTGGACATGATAGGGAAGCCTTGCCACCTAAGTAGGGGGCATATTATGTAGGGCTTGGGTAACCAGATGGAACAGAACAGTAGTGGGGACTGTCCACGGGGCCGGCCACAGGAAAGGGGTTAGAGGAAGCATTATGAGTCAACCGAGTCTGGAATCCTGGTTTCTTTGTCCCCTGGTCATCACTGGAACTCTTCCTGGGGCTCCATGCCCATTTGGGAGGCCCTTTCCTTTTTTCCTATTCCCCCCCATTCCAGTTCCCCAGGAGCCCCCTGCCTGTTCCTGGTGACTGAACCCCTTGGCAACTTGTTCCCTATTCTGAAATCTCCCAGTGTCTTATACTAACACCTCACAGCCCCCAGTGCCAGTATTTGTCCCTGAAGTCCTTCCTTCTGTCTCAACCTCCCCCCTCCTTCCAGTCCTGCACTTCTTCCTCGATGGCCGCTGGGGTGCCAGCCGAGAGCGGCTGGCCATCAGCAAGGACCAGCGAGCAGTACGAAGTGTTCCAGGGCTACCCCTGCTGCTGGCTGCTGACCGGCTGCTGACCGGCTGCCACCTGAGCGTGGACGTGGTCCTGGGTGATGTGGCTGTGACCCAGGGTCGCAGCTACTGGGCCTGCGCTGTGGACCCAGCCTCCTACTTGGTCAAGGTTGGCGTCGGGCTGGAGAGCAAGCTTCAGGAAAGCTTCCAGGGTGCCCCCGATGTGATCAGCCCCAGGTCAGGCCCCTCTGGAAGGGATGGGGTGTGGGGGCTCTGGGTGGGGGCTGGGGACAGGGCAGGGGTGGCACTCACAGACTTGCTGGAGCAGAGCTGGCTGGGGAAGGGATTAGGAGCAAGTAGTAGGAACATGGAAGCCAGGCTGGGAGGCCTGTGGCCAGCAGAGACGTGGGCTTGGTAAAAGGGTTTTTGGAATGTGTGGTCAGGGAAAGGGATGATAGAAGGAGCCATCTCCACCTCCTTCCATCCATCTGTCACTCAGGACCAACACACCATCCCTCCAAGCCTCCGTGTTCTTTCTCACTAACACCCCATCCACATCCTTTCTCCACAAAGCCTTTCTCTCCAAGACCTCCTTCACTCACCTCAGTGCTCAACATCCTAAAATTCTTCCCTTCCACATCCCATCTCCACAACTCTCCTCTCTGCAACGTCCTGTTTAACACCCTCCCACACAGGCTTTTCTCCCTAACCCCTCTCCCAGCACTCTGTCCCCCAACATGCCCCAATGCCAGTCCCCTCCTAAACCCCATCACCCCCAACCCTGCATCCTCTAATATCCTTCATCTCCGACACCAATTGACCCTTGTCTCTCCCGACACCCACCTTCCCAACATCCTTTCTCTGTTCCTCCCTTCTCCCTGGTATCTTAGTCACTAACACCTGATTCTGCCAACATCCCCTAACCCTCAAAACCTTCCCCCAGCATAATTTAGGTGCTGCATTCCTTCAGTGTGCCTCATCAATGCCTCGTCTTTCCCTGTCTGCCCAATGCCTCTCCTGCCAGTGTGCTTTCCTTTCAGTACCCCTTTCCCACCAAACCAACCCCCAACTCTGTCCTCTAACCCATGTCTCTTTAACATGTTTCCTCGATACCCCAAATCGATCCCATCAACCTCTTGCTCCACATTCCATCCTTCAGCATCTTCCTGACTTCCTTACTCCTCCTACCCAACGCCCACTCCTGCAGGTATGATCCGGACAGTGGGCACGACAGTGGTGCGGAGGATGCCACAGTGGAGGCGTCACCACCCTTCGCTTTCCTAACCATCGGCATGGGCAAGATCCTGCTGGGGTCTGGGGCGAGCGCAGGTGCAGGGCTGACGGGGAGGGACGGTCCAGCAGCCAGCTGCACGGTGCCCCTGCCGCCCCGCCTGGGCATCTGCCTGGACTATGAGCGAGGCCGGGTGTCCTTCCTGGATGCTGTGTCCTTCCGTGGGCTCTTAGAATGCCCACTAGACTGCTCAGGGCCTGTGTGCCCTGCCTTTTGCTTCATTGGGGGTGGCGCAGTACAACTACAGGAGCCAGTGGGCACTAAGCCTGAGAGGAAGGTCACCATTGGGGGCTTCGCCAAGCTGGACTGACTCTTCCAGGCCCTCTTCCAGAGCTGGGGTCCTCCTGAGCCCTGGCCCCCGAAGCCTCCTGGCTCCAGGTTGTTACCCCCAAACTCTTCCTACCATGTGGTCCTGCCCCTCACCCTATGTCTGTGTCTTTCCAGGGCTTTCTCTTGACCAAGGGGCTCTCCTCTGCTCACCACTCCAGCTGTCCCCCATTCTCTCCACTGCCTGCTAGCCCAGGCCCCCACCCCACTAGTCTCTGTACTGTGCCCTGCCTTTGGCCTCTTACCCAAGTCATGGAGAGAGCCCCTTCTCCATCTCTGTGCTGTACCCCCCAGGCTGATTGGGAGGGAGGGCACTGGAACACTGGGCATGATCCCAGCTCTGCCCTAGGCCCTGCTGAGCTCCCTGCCCCACTGATGCTGAACTACAGCCTCGGGGCAGGCAGGCTCCTTGGCTGGACACTGTCCAGGCACTCCCTGGTGAGGGAAAGGGGACCCCATCATTCTGCTTTATTTATTTGGGTCCCCACACCCCCCAGCCGCATGCCCCTTATGTCCCTCTTCTCCCTCTTGCATGCTTTACCTGTCCCGCACCCATGCCAACGTGCCAAGTCTCCCCTGGGGACCCAGCTGAGACTGAGTACCCCCACTGGGTTGGGCCAGGCAAGGCCTCCGGTGCCCCTGCTGCCTCCCTGCGATGGGCACTGCTAGGCCTGTGCCGAGCAACGGCTGTTATTTTCATGGTTTATAAACAATAAACTGTGATGCCAGGCACATCTCTGCCTTGCTTGAGCGTGACCATTCCTCTTAGTTTCTGTGCTGGGTGTGGCGGGCGGGAGGGCTCCAGTGTGCTCAGTTGTCGCTCAGAGCCAGGGTGCCTGGTGGGTCTGGTCGCCAAGCCAGGCTCTGCCGAGCCGACCAGGGCCAGCAGGGGGCGCAGCTCTCCAGCTGCAGGCGTCAGGCCCCAGACGGGGCGTCCGGGCGGCCGCGCCCTGGCCCTGGGGGAATGCAGTTGAGGGGGGTGGGCACTGTGCCGGGCCCAAAGGGGTCAGGGAACCAGAACCATTTCCCCATTCCCAGGGTGGCGGGAAGCCCACCCTAGAGGCGGCGGACGGGTGGGGCGGCCAGGGCCGGGAGGGGCGGGCCTGGCGCCAGAGCCCAGATGCGACCCAGCCCCCGCTTATCGTGGCCCTGTTGACTCTGCGGCTGTTATCGCTGCCCAAGGATTTACTTCACACTCGGGCAGCTAAGAATAGAGCCGCCTGGGGGCACCGTGCCAGGGCGAGAAGAGGGCGCGGGCCTTGAGTGAAACCCAGCGAGGAGAGGGGAGAGCCACTGGGCAGGCGGGGCCCAGTCACGCTAGCCCTCCAAGTCTGCCTAGGTTTTGTTTCCTCCTTCCTCTTGTGCCCCAGGAATGAGCCCCAGAGGTGACTGAGTTCTTCCGCCGGCCACCCCTGCACTCTTATGTCACTTCTTACCCACATCTCCTGCTTCTTAAATTAACCCCACTCCTTCTTGCCTCCTTTCCTTTCCCCCTCCCCAAATCCCCCTTATAGGCCCCCTGACCGCCTATCCCATCCATGGGTCACAGATCAAGGATCAGAAGTTGGCCCAGCGGGAGGCCACGTTTTATTCAGACGTGTCAAGGTTCCCACCCCCATCTCTGGGCTTTGTGGGCCCATCGTCCAGGAGCCACCACGGCGCCACTCCCCAGGCATATCCCCCAGGGGCAAGGATGGGCTTCCCCGGGCCCAGAGGGGTTAGGGGACTTGGTGGGGCCTCTGAGGGTGGCTGTGAGCAGCCCACCCAGCTCACCAGCTCGGAACAGAGTGGCAGGGCTCTGGAGGTGGAGAACCGGAGGGGGGTGGACTGGCACTAGCTGGCTGCTCAGCTCAGCTGGTGACATGCCCCTACAAGTTGGCAGAAGTGGCTGCCACTGCTGGGTTCGTGTAAGAGAGGCTGCTGCCACCGTTGCCCGAAGAAACCTGAGTGGAGGGAAAACAGATCCAGGGTGAGGGACAGAAGCTACCTCCTAGGGTCCCTGGATGGTGCCCCAAGCAGGGGTAATAGGTCCAGGGGCCTGGCCAGCTCTCAAAGGGTTAGTTCAGAGAGAGCACCTGCTGGCCTCACCAGCAGCCAGGTGACTGTAAACAGGGCTGCTCCCCCTCCCTCTGCTCCCCTTCACCCCCTCCCTTGGCTCTAGTCACCCACCTTGCCCTCCCCTGCTGGTCTTTCCCCCTCCATTCTCTACTCCTCCAGCCTAAGGAGATGTGTTAAAACTTAAGAGGGAGATTTCCATGAGGAGGAAAATGGGGGCAAGAAAAAGAAACTCCTCTCTCCTCCCCCACCGGGAGAGGCTTTCCAGCCCCAGGTGGCAGCAGTAATTATTTACTAGGTCTTGTAGAGAAAGGCCAAGAGAGGAAAAAGGGAGGGGGGCAGAGTCCCTGCTTCCTTGAGTCTCCCAAGAACCCCACTGGCACCCAGGCTCACCTGGCCTGGTGACTTCTTCCTCTACATGGGAGACACCCCCCTCCAAGCCTTTCTCAGTCTACTTTCCATTGTTAGGAGATGAGTGGGGACATAGGTGCTTATTCCTTGTGACTCCTGCAGGAAGGGCTCCCCTGGGCACAATGCCGCACCCATTTTGCCGCTGGGCATCCTGGCAAGCACCGCAGTGGCACAGTTCAGCCAGAGCCAGCCAGCAGTGAAGGTGGACACGCAAAGCTCTTTTGGGAATTCTGGTAGTGGGGGCACTCCCTCTTGAGGGAGATTCTGGTAGTGGGGACACTCCCTTCTTCTGTAATTTCCTCCCCAGTCTTGTCCCCCAGAACTCCTCTGACCTCCACCCCCATCCTTGCCAGGCCCTTCACTGCTTACCTCGTGCCACCTGTCCCCTTTCTCCTCTCCCAAGCTCTTTAGATTTTCCAAGTACTCCTCAGAACCCCTGCCCATCCCTAACCTCTGACTTCCCCAGCCTGTGGAGCCCGTCCTCACCTCCTCATAGGGGCTACGGCTGGTACTGCCAGGGGGCACATAGCGCCCATGAGTATGGTAGGTGGGGTACTCGCTCATAGGATGGTAGGCATCCCGGGATGGAAAGATGTCCAGCTGCCCATAGTTCTTTCGACGGCACTGACACACAGCCTGGGAAGATAGGAGGTTATGGTCGGCCAGGGGTTCCTTCCACCAGGGGGACTCAGGTCAGGGCCAGAGACTGAGCACTCACCAGGGCAATGAGATAGATGATGGCCAATGCGACCAGGACACAGACCAGCACCAGCAGGGCGATGCCCCAGCCTGGTACCCCAGACCCAGACTGGGCAGAGGAAGGATTCGGCACACTTTGCACTACAAGGAAAAACAGCGGTCAGGGCAGTCTCCCAAAGGAAGCACCCTCCCCCTGCTAGCATCAAGCGGAAGTGCAGGAACCCAGAAGCTGTGGGAGAGGTGCCCTGGCGTGGCGCGAGGGCTGCAGCTGGAGAAGTAGCCTCACCACTGACTCTTGAGATAGTCAGGTTATATTCAGCTGCTTCCTTTTCATGCTGAACAAGCTGCATTTTCACATCTTGGGCACTGATGGAATCCCCTCGGAAGGCCAGAGTTGATTCTACCACCACAGATCCCGGCCTGGTTACAGGGAAATAGGCAACTCAGCCATGGGTCCCAGATTCTCAGCACTTTCCCCCAACCATGAGTGCACCAGTCCTTCCCCACAGTCATGACAACATCCACCCCGCACACACAGAGTCTACACCCAGAACTGTACCTGAACGTGATATAAGAGATGCCCAGAAAATCCTGTTGTTTGTAAATCTGCAAGAACTGAGGTGGGAGGGAAAGGACTCAGGCTTGATGCAAAAGGTTTGAGCAGTTTTAGAGACTGCTTTAGGGGAGCACGGTGAAGGAAGGCAGATACCCACCAATTCTGTAATGTTTCTCTGAAGCTCTCGGAAGTAGTTGTTATTGCGATCTTCCAGGGAAGAATTAAACTCAAGGTTCAAAATGTGAAAAGACAAGAAGAAGAAAGAGACCCTAGTAGACAACTGGGAGGAAGTGGTATGATTGGAGGAGGTGGGAGAAGGTATTGTGCTATGGTGAGTGCTAATGGCAATAGTTCTGGTGCTGTGGCTGGCAAGGGTGGTGGGAGTATGAGAGTGGTGGCTGGGAATTAAAGATGGAGTACTCTTGCTGACTGGGGTTGTGGTAGCCTTGGCAGAGGTGCCATTGTGCACCAGAGTGGAAGCTGAGCCTGATGTAGAGCTCTTGGTTGAGGCCAAGGTGACATCGTTGGCTGCAGTGGTGGTGGAGCCTGAGGCTGGAGTGGTGGCTGGGGTTGTGGTGACTTTGGAGACTGGAGTGGTGGTGGAGCCTGAGGCTGGTGTGGTTGCTGGGGCCATGGTGACATTGGAGACTGGAGTGGTGGTGGAGCCTGAGGCTGAGGCCGTGGTGACTTTGGACTGTGCTGGGACTGTGGTGACATCGGAGACTGGAGTGGTGGTGGAGCCTGAGGCTGGTGTGGCTGGGGCCGTGGTGACACCGGAGACTGGAGTGGTGGTGGAGCCTGAGGCCGGTGTGGTGGCTGGGGCCGTGGTGACACCGGAGACTGGAGTGGTGGTGGAGCCTGAGGCCGGTGTGGTGGCTAGAGCAGAGATGACACCAGGAGCTGGAGTGGTGGTGGAGCCTGAGACTGGAGTGGTGGTGGAGCCTGAGGTTGGTGTGGTTGCTGGGGCCATGGTGACATCAGAGACTGGAGTGGTGGTGGAGCCTGAGGCTGGAGTGGTGGCTGGGGCCGTGGTAACATCAGAGACTGGAGTGGTGGTGGAGCCTGAGGCTGGAGTGGTGGCTGGGGCCGAGGTGACATCGGAGACTAGAGTGGTGGTGGAGCCTGAGGCTGGTGTGGTGGTGGAGCCTGAGGCTGGTGTGGTTGCTGGGGCCGTGGTAACATCAGAGACTGGAGTGGTGGTGGAGCCTGAGGCTGGGGCCGTGGTGACATCGGAGACTGGAGTGGTGGTGGAGCCTGAGGCTGGGGCCGTGGTGACACCGGAGACTGGAGTGGTGGTGGAGCCTGAGGCTGGTGTGGTCGCTGGGACTGTGGTGACATCGGAGACTGGAGTGGTGGTGGAGCCTGGTGTGGTTGCTAGGACCATGGTGACACGGGAGACTGGAGTGGTGGTGGAGCCTGAGGCTGGGGCCGTGGTGACATCGGAGACTGGAGTGGTGGTGGAGCCTGAGGCTGGGGCCATGGTGACATCGGAGACTGGAGTGGTGGTGGAGCCTGAGGCTGGGGCCGTGGTGAGGAGCCTGAGGCTGGTGTGGTCGCTGGGACTGTGGTGACATCGGAGACTGGAGTGGTGGTGGAGCCTGGTGTGGTTGCTAGGACCATGGTGACACCGGAGACTGGAGTGGTGGTGGAGCCTGAGGCTGGTGTGGTAGTTAGGGCCGTGGTCACATCGGAGACTGGAATGGTTGAACCTGAATCAGAACTGTGGTTGGAGTGTAAACTGCTGGTTGTGCTCACAGCAGTTCTCTCAGTAACGCTGGATGGTGGATGGCTTTGGGTAGACAAAGTCTCTGTTTCTCTGCTTGGGCTGGAGGCTGTGTTGCCAAAATCTGCAGAAACTGTTGAGGGTTGAACAATTGTTGTAGCTGTTAAGAAGTTGAGGTGACGGGGTGGGTAGGAGGGCAAATTCAAGCAAGGAGAAAATATAACCTCTGGCAACCGGAGAGGTCCTCTCAGGTGGATGGAGAAGTGGGCAGCATCAGGCAGCCTCAGGTCAGCCCTCTTCCTCCCTCCCTGTGGGCAGCCTCCCTCTCTCTGCTCACACGCCTTTGCTCCTGGCTTGCCCAGGTCTCCATTCCCAAGACTTACCTCTCCTGACTCCCTTATCCCCAGACTTCTTTTCAGGACATTTCCCGCCCCTGGCACCCACTTTCCTGGGGGCTGCCTCTTCTCAGCCTGTCCTTAGCCTTTCGTTCACTCTGGCACAGACGGGGCCACCCCTGTCTGCAATTTCTGCCCTTCATGGTGCCATCTGCCAGGAAGCAAAACCCACAGAAAGGCAAAGAAGACCACATAAGCAGGGCAGCCCACTCCCCACCTGTGCCCCTCACCTGTAAACACTGGGAGCAGCAGCAGCAGGAAGAAAAAGGACTGGATGCCTGGTGTCATGGTGGTGGTGAACTCGGTGAGGAGGGGACAGAGCAGACTCAGGCAGGCGCTGCGTGTGAGGTGGAGCGGGTACAGGCGCCTGCTGCTTTATACCGGTCCCCCGCCCGCTCTAGGCACAGCCGGAGCAGGTGACAGGTGACAAAACCCCGCCCCGTCCCCCCTTCCCTACCTCTTCCTCCTCCTCCCAACCATTCCTGGGTAGGGTACATGGGCACTAATCACTCAACCCTCTTGACAACCTGTTTGTTCTCCAACTGGCCTCCCCTCTCACCAACCATTCCCTGGCTCCAGAAGGTGGGGGGAGAAGAGGGGGGTCGGAGTCTGGGAAGTGAGGCCTCCTGGCTCTAGTTTTAGCTCTAAGGCCACAGCTAAGGTGAGAAAAGGGAACAGACAAAGCTGGCTAGGTATAGGTCCTGGACAGCAAGAGCAGGAAGCCCACCCTTAGGTCCCCTACTCCACTTCCCCACCATTCTGTGTCCACTGAAGCCTCAGTCTGTGGGGCTGAGAAAAAAACGAGGGCTTGGTAATGAGTGGACTAGGTGCTAGTTTTGGACTCCCTCCCCCCACCACTTCCCGGAATAGCCCCACCCTTCTAACCGCTCCCTGTCCCGTTCCACACGCAGTTCTACCCTGAAACCCACAGTCCCCCGCCCCGCCGGGCTGCACTTTCCAGCAGCCTGGGTTCCTTCCTTGGCTTTCTCCTGAGAAGAGAGTGGGAGGAAATTTTTCCATTTAAAGGACGAAACCTGGGCTCCAAGGAACCCTAGGGTCCTTCCTTTTCACCCTCCACTTTGTAGCGGCGGCCAGCCCGCACTGCTGGCCAGGAGCTCCTGCCATCTAGTGGTTACCGGGAGCCTTGTGAGGCTGGCGCGCGCTGGCCGAGGGGCTGCCCCGACCCGGTGGAGAGCAGGTTGGACGGCGCTGCCTAATGGGGGCAGAGCCTAGGGAGGCTGGGCCTGAGAGAGGAGTCAGTGTCTTGGACAGAGGGAGGAATGCACAGTATAATGAGGGGACTGGGAGCTTTAGGAGGGGGACTCCGGGGCGCGTGGGGACGGTGTCTGGAGGAATTGGTACGTAATGTGTAGGGTCCTGAGGTATGTGGAAGGGGCACCGAGGTATGTGGGAGAGGACATCAGAACGAGGGAGGGGGAATGCGACAAGTTATGTGGGTGCGGTTACATATTTAGGAGGCAGAGAGTAGATGGGGCTACAGAATGGACTTTGGGGGCACAAAACTATCTTTTTGGGAGCAGAGTGGCATTTGGAACAGGTAGGCACGTGGTGGTGGGGGGGCAAAACCATGTATGAGGGTGAATAATTTGAAAGAACCGAGAAGTATCTGAAGGACAGAAATATCCTGGTGCAGGGAGGTATTTGGGGCCACAGCGGCACGTGGCGCTCAGCGTTTCAGGCAGTCCCGGGGTGCGGTCTAGGACGACGGAAGCAGTTATGACTCTATTAGGAAAACAGTTCTTAGCCCCAATCAATGCAGACTGGGAAATAACACATTGAAAACACTTCGGCGCGGCGCGGGATTAGACAGAAGCGCGCTCAGGAGCCGCGGGACCACAGCCCCCGCCCGCGGCCCGCTCGGCTTCCAAGGCGCGGCTTTGTGCCGCGGCCGGACCGGGGCGGGGTGGGGGCGTCTTACGTCAGCGCGCCGGGCGCGCGGGCCGGAGAGGCGGAGAAGCCCCCCCACCTGCAGGCCAGAGAAAGCACGAGTATCTAGGTGGGCGGCCCCAAACTTCAACTCCCGGCGTTGCCCAGCAACAGCCATTCAGTCCGGTTGCTGGGACACGCGTCACCATGGCGACCGCTGCGCGCCGCTCAGTCTGAGTATTTAAAGAGCAAGCGCGCGCAACGCCTGGGCGTCGAAAAGCGGCCTTCCGGGACTCGGTGATCTCCCCTTGTCCCTTCACCCCTCCCCCTTACCATTCCTTTCACCTTCCGGGCGCTGAGGCTCTCTGGCCTCCAAGGTGAACCCAACTCCCCAGCGCGCCCCCAGTTCCTGGGCCAGGTCGGCTTCAGGCGGTGGGGAGTGGGATCCCGGGCCCCGGGCGGGCGGGAGGGACGGGACGCGGTGCAGTGTTGTTCTTTCCCCCGCCAATATTGCACTCGTCCCGGCCTCCGGCCCCCCCGGCCCCCCGGCCTCCCCCTCAAGGGGCAGCCCCCGCTCTCCTGGCTCTCCATTCCGGCTGATCTAAGATAGACTGGAGGGTCGCCGCTACCACCGTGGGTAAGTAGGGCTGGGAGGACTTTGACCATCCTCTGACCAACACTCTATCCTTCACTTAACCCCATCCGGCACCTTCCCCACCCACACCCCTAATCAACCCAACTTCCCCTAGATCTCTAACTGCCACCCTACCAGTCTTTCTCCCTTAACTCCTCAGGTTCCTTCCTGTTCCCCACCCTATCCCGGAAAATCCCTAAAATAAGCAATTGCACTGGCTTAGAAAACAACTGGAACTTTATGGCAATGTGCTGTTGTTATCTTTCCTGGGGTTAGTGCCTGAGTAATACCCCTTGAAAACTTCCCATCCCCTGAAGTAGGGTGACCACCCCTCTGGGGCTGAACTCCTGATGAATGTCAGAGAAGGGTCTGTGTTTGGCTAAGGGGCTGTAGCTTAGACCCCAGGGTCTCCAGGATCGACCCCAAGGCCAAAGGGTCTAAAATCAGGATTCTGAATCCGGTGGTCACCTCCTCACACCCTTCCCTGGAGCAGCTGCCTCCGGAATGGCTCAAAGTCCTCAGGCACTGTGTCTGAAGAAGGGGAAATAAGTAACGTCAGAGGATGTGGCTCTCCTGCAGGGCATGAGGGGTCAGGTTGATCTCAGTCTGCAGCCTCACCATTGCATCGATACTGGAGATTGGACCAAATGATGTTTTCTTGGGAGAAGCAGAATACACCGAGACGCCCCCCTCGCATGGATGTGTCAATGATCACCCCAGAATCCGCCACTAGCTGGGGTCCCTCATAGAGTTTCACCCTGTCCAGGATAGGAGTGTCTGTTGGTGCTAGGGTGCCAGTGGGCACTGTGCCACCATGCTGGGGGGGGCTGCTCTTCTCCAGCCCCCCTTGAGCTCGCCAGGCCTGAGAGAGAAGGGAGGGAGGGAAAGGGAGGAAGGAAAAGGGAGGGAAGGGGGGTGCTTTTCTCAGGCCTGGGGCCCCTAGCTCTTTGTCCGGCTCCTTTTGCATCTCAAAGCACCAGCCACATTCCAAGCGAGGATTGGGTTGCCATGACGATGAGCACAATGGGCTGGGGGGTGAAGTCACCCGCTTCCCAGGCTCTAGTCCACCCCCTTTTATCCCCCGTCCTGGCACCCCACAGCCCCAGGCACCTTAAAGGGGAACCAACCCAGGTTGCTGGACTCTGGGCTCTTGGCTATGAAAAGTCCAGCCTCTAAGCAGACCCACTTCTCCTCCCTTCCTGGTCATCCCCACTAACTAGGGGCAATTGTGGGAGGGAAATGCAAAGTTGTGGACAAAGTGGTGAAGAGAGAGGCCTGTGAAGTCTGGGCCTTGATTTGCTCTTCCATAAATGATGATTCCAGGTCAGACACTCTGATGAGGCAGGCTCTGGGCTGTACCGATTAAGGGGCCAATGTGATGTACTCCTCCACAGACTGGCCTGCGGCTGGGAGGCTCCCGGGAACTGTAAAGGGCATCTAGGCCAATGCCCTTGTTTTACAGAGGGGAAATGGGGCAGGAAGGAGGAGTGACTTGACCAACATTGCCTGTAGGTTCTTCTGTCTGTGGTGAAAAGGGAGGTGGAGAGAAGGGGCCACAGTCCCCACCCATGGCACCAGGGAATTAAGTACAGAGGAGGTCACTGGTGAGTCCCAGCTAAAGGGAAAGGAAAGACCCAGCCTGAGTCCCTCAGGTGGGCTCAGCCCCACACCTCACCGAATGTAGCCAACTTGAGGCCGGTGCAGCAGCTGCCAGCGATAGGAGGTCTTGTCACGCCAGCCCACATTTCTTGGGTCAGTCCACAGCAGTCGTACCTGATCAGGAGTGTGGCCAGTATGCCACAGGGCATTTCGGAGGTGCTCACCTGGGCCAGACACTGATGTCACTGCCTGGGGAGCATTGGCAAAAACAATGGGTCAACCATAGGACCAGAGTGAGGTTGGTAAGAGAGACAACAGGTTGGTAAGTGCAGGTGGGAAAGGGAGTCATAGGGGTCAGGAGAATGGTCTGGTGCCCTGGAGAGCCAACCTCCAAGCCAAATGTCTGGGTGAGAGGGTTCCAAGTCAGGCAGTGGGGTGGGAGGGAGCCCTGGGGCTTGGGGGACAGAGCTTTGGGAAAGACCCCTGGGTTGGGGAATCTGGGTAGCTGGGAGACCTTAAGTTGTAGCCCGGGCTGGGCAACAGCCCGGAAAGGTGTGGCCTGCCAGTAGGTCTGCTCCGTCTGCTTCCACATGACCACGTAGAAGCGGCCACTGTCCTGATAACTGAAGAGAAAGCCTGCGTAGTCATCATCAGTCACTGTGTTCACGTGGAAGGTGCCTTCAAAGTCCACACCATTAAAGGCCGTGTATCCTGGGGTGAGGGGTGGGTAAAGGTCAGGGGCAGCAAAGCCACTGGTGGCCCATTGTGGGACCTGCTACATGTGTGGCCAGCTTGGCCTGCTGCCTTCTTTCTCACCCCTTTGCCCATCTTCCCTGTCCAGTTCCTCCCCCACCCTCTGTAGGATTCCTCTGTTTGAAAATTATTGAAATTGCTGAGCTGGGTGTCCCTTACATACCAACTGCCAGGCCAGGGTCACTGTTCATGGTCTGAACGATTTCCATGCCCTAGAGTTGTAGGGTAAACAAAAAAGCCATGATCCGGGTGCTTCACCCCACTTAGGCCCCACCTGTTAATCTGGTTTAATAGCACCTGCCCAGCCCACTGCCCTGAGTACCTGGTTGAGCACAACCCAGTTTGGGTCAATCTGAGCATCACCCTCAGGATCCAGGACGACGGTCTGATAGGCCCGAAAATCCGTGAGGGTTACCTCGGCACTTTCGGGACACACATCCAGGGGGTCGACCACAGCATCATTGTCAAAGTCATCCTCACACACATCACCAACGCCATTGCCTGGGCAGAGTGAGGCTAGGTGCTCAGGAAGGGCCTAGTCACTGCCCATAGCCAACACTACCAGCTCTTGGGCCTTGCATTCCTGGCCTCTTTCCCCACCTTGCCCTTCCTCACTCCCCAGCAGGACCTGCTGCCTCCCCCTGAGCAAAGCCCACAGCAGTCCAACCCTGTCTGGGCCCCAGAGTTACCATCTGAGTCCTTCTGATTGGGATTGGGTACCAGGCGACAGTTATCAGGACCAGGAGGCACATAATCTGGAATGCCATCATTGTCATCGTCCCCATCACACTCATCTCCAAGTCCATCATTGTCTGAGTCCAGCTGGGAGCTGTTTGGCAGCTGTGGGCAGTTGTCCTTGGTGTCCTGATGCCCATCCCCATCGCTGCTCAGAAGAACAGGCACCAAATAAAGGCTCCAAAGGTACTCCCCGTCCTTTCCCTCTTCTGCTTCGCAGTCTCTCTGGAGTCTACCCTCCAGCCAGCCAGACCTCTTGCGGTTGGTCAGCCAGATGAGGTGAGGATCCAGCAGTAGGAATGGAGGATAGACTAGGAGAATGACTTCCTGCTCAATAGTGTAGAGAATTAAGGCTAAATCATAAATGGACTTGAGAATATACTAGAGGAAAGTAAAATATCCCCTGTAAGACCTTGCACGTCTTGGCCAAGTGCCTACCTGTCTTCGTTGGTGTCACAGACATCCCCCACCAGGTCACTGTCTGCATCTGTCTGAGAGAGAGGGACCTGTTCTCACCATCTCTTCTAGACAGCTCTGAAGGGGGTGACCTGACCACTTCCCATCCAAAGGGTTGGAGCATCACGTACCAGTCCCCTCTCAGCCCTCACCAGTCCCCTATACCTGGGTAGGATTGCTCATTTCAGGACAGCTGTCACAAGCATCTCCCACCCCATCCTCATCTCTGTCTGTCTGCAGTGGGTTAGGGACTTTAGGGCAATTGTCCAATCCATTAGGGATGCCTAGAAGACATGTGGGTAGCACCAGGTTGTCATTAGAACATGTCACACTTTTTTTTAGGTTGGTGAAAGCCCTGAGCTTTGTCTCCTCACCCAGATGACAAACTGGTCAGGAAATCTGCCTGTTCCTTGTCTCACCCTCTAGCCCACGCCCTGCCTGACCCTACACCCTATGTCACATTCCCATCGATACCTATATTCTCGCCTCGCCCAGGCCAGCTTTCTCAAGCATACCTCCCAACTCTCATGGCCTCCCTGCTCCATCCCCACCTGCACCCAAATTCTTACAGGTCCCCTGCCCCCCCCAGCCCCAGGCCTGCACCATCCCCATCCACGTCGTTGTCACAGGCATCTCCTTCCCCATTGCCATCTGTGTCCTTCTGGTCATTGTTAGGAACGTTGGGGCAGTTGTCACAGGCATCACCAAATGAATCTGTGTCTGAGTTCTGCTGGTCCTTGTTGGGGAACAGCCGGCAGTTGTCCT